CGCAACAAGATAAGCGACAAATAGCGAGAAATTATGAAAGAGATTATGAGGAGACCTAGTGTGGATAAGAATGCATCGAAGGTCAGACGCTAGTCGTAAATTAACAAAAAAGATACATATTTTATTTGATGGACCATACCAAATTGTACGCATAGTTAGGCGTAACGCATATGTAATTGCGGATTTAGATGATAATGAAATAGGCGTTTATAACTCGAGGCAAATAAGACCTCATAGGGAAGCGCAGTATAGGCCTACACAGGAAGAATTAGAAGACGACAACGAAGATTCAACAAGACCTCAAGGCGAAACGCAAAATGACGAAGAACGCCAAAGCGAGGAGAACTTCGAGAGTATTGAAGAATCAGAAGACTACGACGAAGATCCAATAAAATCCCAAGGCGGGCCGCATAACAACGGAGAACGCCATAGCGAGAAGGACTTCGAAGACAATGAGGATACAGAGTATTTACAACAAGAGGCCGAAAGTTACGAAGAACAGTATTCACAAAATGAATCAGAAGAACCTTATACAGATAACGAAAGGTACGAGGATGAACATTCCCTACCGGATCAAGAGCGAGAAGACAGCTCAGAAGACGAAGAATACGTCAATAATATCCGAATAAATACAATCACGATAAGTGATAGCGATGAAGAAATATCTTCAGATATAGGATCAGACGATACGATCTTACTGGAAAGTCAGTGGAAACGAGCAGAAAGAGGTAGAACTCTGAAAACAACCCTAAAGTCAAAGAAAGACAATAACGAAGTTGACAGGGAAATAAAACAACCCGACAACAACAGCTTCGAGTCTGCAGGGATGAGCAACCTACCGATTAAAAAAGAAGATCATAGCGAGGAGAAAACCGCTCAAGATCAATATGCAATAACAGAAAGGATTTTCAGCCAATCACAAGACAAGGTGAAAACCGAAGTCACTTCGATTGAAGAAAAAGAAGAAAATTCACGTCAAAAGGACGAAGAGAGTCAAGATACATCAAAAGAATACGAGCAGGAACATCAACCTGAAATTTATAATGATACCTATATAATAGACCAATCAGAGGTCAGGAAAATTGAAAATTCGCCTGAATTAATAAATAGGCGTAGAGACGAGCGAAAAGCCGTAATAAATGTTAAATCAATCTTAAGAAAGTCAAGTACAAGACAAAGTGCGGAAAAATGCACGAAGAGGCTAAAGGACTATTTTATAAATCCAAAGGATACAACGGACGAGTCAGACGAAGAGGAAAGAAGATTTTCGAGTGAAGAAAGGTATAAAACTAATGGCGAGAAACTCCAAAACGAGGAAACACAGACCATTCCTGGAAACACTCTGAAGATGAAGATAAGTAAGAAGGAAGTTACATGGAAGTCCAGCCCTAAAACGAAACAATGTTACCCATCGCAACAATTGCGTGATTCATGCCAAACACTGTCAACAACGACGGAAACCCGCGAAAGGGCAAAGAAAGAAAGTGAAACAAAGAATAACAGTCAAAAGGAAGAAAAGTTAAAGCAAATAAAGATGTCTTCGTCGGAAACCGACATTAACTTCGACATAAAGGAGTTAGAAAGAGAAGAAAAGGAAGTGGCGGAAGCCCTGAAAGAAGAAATAGAGAAGAAATTTGAAGTGTTGAGAAGAAAGAGGCAATTGAAAGAAATGAGATTCATGCTTCAAAAACTGAGGAAGGTACCACAAGAGCAACCCACCGTAGACCTCAGAGCAGCAATCCAACAAACCGAGATAAGAAAAATAATGGAAACGTGCAAGAACTTGACATATAAGAGAAAAATTGTAGAAGATTCTTTTAAGATCCAGGATGACGAGGGACGCGATGTGTGCAAGGTTAGTGCCACAATCCAGAACCTTAGACGAGAGAAAGAGAAAACAACAACTATGTACCAAGTATAATACATTATACGATTAATGACAACCAAGTTAGAAAAAACAGAGTCTTAAAGGCGGAACAGATGGCAAGCACGGACGCAAAATATAAAAAATATGCCATGACAGAAGCGCGAGTGTTGGATCTAATAAAACCAACCATCACTGATATTGAAATACCGTCAACATCTAAAGACTACAAAAAAGAGAACATTATACCAAGGATATCGATAGAAAATCAACCTACGAAGAGGACAAAACAGCAATCCAGCGATGATGAAGAGCCGATTGAAAGAAAAAAACAAACCAAGGCCGAAGTCGCGAGAAACAGACCGAGAATTTCGGGAAGATTTGTCTCAAAAGAGACAATAAAAGAAGATAACGTAAGTCAAATGCGATAAAATATAAAATAAATTCTGGATATTAATAAACTTGTTAAAAATTTCATTTTGAACAACTTTAAGCGAGGAGTATGTGACCGAATACATTCGTGCACAATCATAATTTATTTTGATTTAACAACAGGATATACTTACCTTGGAGGATCAGGAGGTAGCCAACGAGGTCCAAATATAAGAACAACGGCAGGAAGAGACTTCACCTGTAATGATAATTAAGAAGAGGATGTCACCTGAAAACTAAAATAAAAGAAATATCAATTATTAAAATAAAACATATATTTTAACGCTTATCATAAGAAATCTTTATTTTATTCTGTAAAAAAGGTATAAATAACGTAAACAAAACAAAATTTTAAGTTTAAAATAGATTTTAGTATTAGCCTTAATTAAGAAGTCGATAAAGTAGAAAAAGAGCTTATCGATTATTATTATACATTTCAAAAATCGGCAATTTTATAATTTTCATATTTTCTAGGTTATTACAAACCACATTGATAGATAAAACTAAAATATAATTATTATTTTATTATTGGCTAACGAAAAGGTAAATCGGTAAGGTAGGGAACCACCGATATTTAATTTGAATTATCATAGGATAAGTTACCATAAGTGAATGAGTGAGAGGGTTAGACCCTCAGAGTGAAAGGAAAATACCATTTGGCCGTACAACCAATCGAAATGATCGACCAATGGCGATCGAGCACAGAAAGCGAAGAGCGAATCGGAA